CCCCCCCCAAATCCCACCAGCCCCCCCCTACCTTATAAAAAACTGAACGGTCCCTAAAGACAGAAATCCTGATAGGAATTATGCATCTGCATAGTTAATACGACTTCGTAATGAGTAAACGACAGCCACATCTACATCTACATGAGTTAAGTCGGTGAAAACCTTAAGACATCACACCGACTAAGGGGGACAAAAGGGACTATATAGTTAAGTGCATTGTGAATGACGAGCTAAAAGCTTAGCGAGACACATCTCAATTTTACAATAGAGGCATATGGCAATGGACGCATAATTCAGTCGTCTGGACGGATTAGTCGTCTTAAGAACAACATAAAGGAAACGGCAGTAGCTGAATCTAATAACTTTAAAAGCCTCCCTAACAAATAAACAATGACAATTTAGTTGTTTTGGGCGCGAGTTCGATCAGTCTGCTGCTTGCTTGTGGTGTTGTTACCTCCAGCAGTCTCTGTCAACAGGATCGACCGGCAACGGTAAGATTGACAAATCACACGGGAAATTGATAGCCGTGAGAGTTTGCAGTGGACCTCAATAGCTACCGGCTGTACCTCAACAACTACATTACACCTTAATGAATAGCTCCCTCTATGAGAAGTGCCTGCAGGGAATCATGGGATCCCTCTATGAGACGCGCCTGTTGGTAATCATGATAGCTGTATTGATGACTCTTGATTCCCTGCAGGCGCATATCATTGGGAGAATTGGCCATACAATACACTCACTTACTAAATCAGCTGAGGATTTTTAGCCTATGAGTAGAACAGGGGACAGAGAGATACACTAAAGTTAGTAATAAGATGAAAAACGTCGTACCATATATTGATTAACACAACAATGTCATGATAGCTATGAAGTGATTACTACATTTCTAAACCGGTCTGCCAACGAACTCAACAGTGCGAGACAATGCGCCCGTTTTACTTGCACGTAATTGCTTATTTGGCTGGCACGTCGTTAGATATATTTTGGTATTGAGTACGGCCGTGCTAGACATAAATCCATTCGGATGGAATAATATCTACTGTTTTAGACACTTTCAGCGGACGAAATGTGAAATACTGCATTTCTTGTCGCGAGAGTCGTGAGGTCAGTGTGTTGCTAATTCGACTGACAATCATTAGCAAACTCCTCTTTTGTTGTGAGGACTTTTACCTCCAAACAGTCCAAACATAATCCCAGACCAAATTTTCATTGTGATCACGGTATCTTTTCGACTCGAGTGCATTTTAGCCAAAAAAAAAGTGACATAAAAAAACTACATAATTTGCGCTTTGTTTAGACTTATGATTCATGTAGCTTTTCGTTTCAGACTCATCTGAATCACGAGCAAGCTTTGTTTGACGATAGAATTCTCATTAGCCTCTGTTAGCATGAACTGTCTCTGTTTAAGCCAGCATAACAATAATAATTCATTGCATTAAGACTCACTGAACAATACCCATGAAAACCTTTTGATGCGAATCAAAGCAAAAGAGTTTTAAATTACTTTCAAAGTAATTTAAGTTCCCAAGCAACAGACTGTTTACTTTTTCCTCACAACAGCTTGGTTGGTTTTTTTTCTAGGTTTCTCTTCTGTGTCACTATGTTAAAAATACTGTCGTCTTCAAACTTTTCCTCGGAGACTTGCGAGCTGTCACAATTAACGTACATATTTTACACACCTCAATAAACATGCAAATTGCCTTTCTCGGCTTTCATCATTTTAGGGACAACACTTTGGTTACCTGGGCAGTGGTGCATAAAGATAAATTTCTTGCATAATTATTATGACGGGCTTACAATTATTAATACATGTAAGAAGAAAGCTTCATGAAGCACGATTGTAATCCAATACGAAAAATCAGGTAACATCACGATAACTGGCTTCAGTCTGGTAAGTACAGTACATCTGTTCTAGCCAGCCAACTGTTGCTACCCGGCATCACATGTATTCTTTAATAATTATAAGATAATTGTGCTGCCTTTCACAGAGATCGATTAAACATGGAGAACGAAGAAGAAATGAGAAAAGCAGTTTCCCTACAAGAGCTGGAGAAGGCAAGAGACAGAAAAAGAAAGAGAGACAAAATTCAGCAGTCGAGCTATTTCAAGTGTTTTTACGAGGCCGATTACCTAGTTTTCAAAGGATTCTGCTTCTTCTTGTATGGAGCGTATGGCGGCTTTATCCCATATCTGCCTCTGTATTTTAAACAGCTGTTCTTAGGTGCTAGCTATGCAGGGATAATAGTTGGCATTCGACCACTCATTCAGTGTATTGGAGCGCCATTTTGGGGCGTTATAGCTGATCGCTATCACGCGGGAAGAATCATATTTCTGGGAAGTGTTATTGCATGGATTGTGAAGGCTTTTGTTATCCTGGCGGTGCGGCCTCACGACCAACATTGCATTGAAATGTATAGTAACAAAACTGCAAATGTGAGTTATGTCTATGCTTACGATCTTTGGACAGAGACCAAACAAGAGGAGAAATGGGTTGTTCTTCCACTGGATAACCCCATCATTATCGAGAAAAATAAAATTGCTGTTGTCGAGGAGCACGAAATCAAGCATGCGCCTGATGAGTCTCTCCCCAAGGAGGTATTAGAAAATAGCGGACCTCTTGATCAAAAGGGCAAGACCAAAAAAGGACGAAGAACGTACAAGCACCAAGCCTACCCTGAAAAGGAAGTTTTAGACGAAAAAATGCCAAGCAAGATGTCGAGGAGGAGCGAGCAATTAGCTAGACGTGTGATGAATAAAACAAAAGCTGACGACGATGTGCTCTATGAGTCAGAGGTAAAAATTGATCTAAATGAGAGCAAACAAAATGAAGCATTAAGCTCAAAAATAACACATGTGGTGGAAGTTTACAAGGAGGAGCTAAACGCATCAGTAACATTCATAACTAACATTGACACAAAAGAAGTTGACTTCATGTTTGTGTTGTTTATGATTATTATCATTGTGGGAGAATTTCTTGAGTCTCCAACCTACGCGCTGTCAGACGCGTCTCTTCTAAAGCGACTGGGTGACGATAGAGAGTACTATGGGAGAATCCGCATGTGGGGCTCACTTGGCTGGGCTGTGGCATCAGCTATGGTCGGACTGCTTATTAACTATTCTACCTTCAAACTTTGTCAAGTGGTCCAAAACAATTACATCATTGCCTTTTACGTTTTCGTGGGTTTTGTAGCTGCCGCCTTCGCAAACAGCTTGTGGTTTCGCTTCAGTTACGATGACGAAAAAAAGTTCGAAGATATTGGAAAAGTTGCTCCGATGCTTCTTAGCCTTCGCCATACTTCATTTCTTTTGGCGACGTTGTATACTGGTTTTTGTTATGGAATCCTGGTTCATTTTGTCAACTGGTACATCGATGATATTGGAGGCTCGAGTGCAATTATGGGTGCTGCCGGCGCCGCAAGAGAGATATCAGCTTTAATTATGTTCGCAATGAGTGCTACAACTCTTCAAGCTCTTGGCAATGTGAACAGCATGGTACTCTGTCTATTGGTTTACATTATCTGCTTTATTTGTTACTCTATTCTTGACGATCCATGGGTGGCAGTAGCTCTAGAGGTGCTGGATGGAGGCACGTATGGCCTGGTATGGTCCACCTGTGTTAATTACATGAGCGCTGTCGGATCTAGCTTGGGAGTTATAGAAACCACCCAAGGTAAGACGCAACCAGCTGCTGGTTAATATACGACTAGTACATTATAAAATATGGGAATGAGCTGGAGAAAATATAACTGCAGTAATTTCCTTTGAAGGCTACGTACAAATTATTGCCTGTACTGGTTCCTTACTTAGTTTTTGAAATTTGAAATGTAGGAGACGCGAAATTTCAGCGTTAATTCAAAATTTCACATATGAAATTACAAAATTGCCATGACAACGTTTGGCGCGAAATTTCTCGATACACTAAAATAGTCAAAAACTTGAGGTCTGTTTAGTACCCTCGGTGGAGTAGGGGGTCACTTGTTCCATGCTTGGGTATGGGGTGCCGCTCAAGGATTAAATTGCCGCTGACCCAGTTCAGAACAAAACTTGCCTAACATCAACACCCAGTGGAGGACAACACCCTTTACAGAACACAGTTTGGGACAAGAAGCTAAACATGCACTCTCCTGGTTTGCACGAATTTGAAGAGTTTTATTGATCCTCTCTCGGGGCGATTGCGATAGACCAATAGGTCTTATTCGTATTCCCGGTATTGGACTGGAACTAGCTTGCAACTGAGGCTAATGCGGGGAGTCTTTTCAATTGCAAATGACATCAATCTCTTTTTAATGATATTCCCCCGCATGAGCCTCCATTTCAAGCTAGTTCCAGTCCAATACCGAGAATACAAATATGGCCTATTGTGATATATTAAAATTCAGGCAAAACAATAGACCTCAGTACGAGGCTATGGGGAATAACTACAGAGTTTGTGGGGTTTACTCCCCAGAGCCTCGTGCTGAAGTCTATTGTGTAAGGCTGAATTTTAATATATCGAAATTGGTCTATTACAAAAATCATTTTGGATGGTTCTAAAAACAGTTCTTTCGTCTATATACTTTTCCTCCACAAAATGTAATCCAGCGTCCAGACGTCTAAGTTACATAGTTTCGCAAAATTCAATATTTCGTCATGATACCCGGGGTAATGGCAGTATTACAGGTTATGCACTTCTACAGAGAAAACAATCCGAAACAAACTCCTTGTTTTCTTTTGATTGTAATCCCACCAAACCTTAACCATCAATCGTTGTTTCTTTTTGAAGTTAACGCGCTGATGTTCTTTGTAATAGTAAAGTTTATTTCTTAGGACCTTTCAATTAACAAATGGTAAACGCCATAGCGTGCACTATTGAGTTATGGATGCACGCGGGAGGTTGCTAAGCACGAAAGAAGCGTAAGAGTCGCACGAG